AAATAAAAGGCTCTTAGAGGCACCCCGGGGGGGGGACTTAAATATTCCTCGAAGCTGTTTGGATTTGTGCTGTGAAATCTCTCAGCTAACTCTTCAGTATTTAAACAGAGCCACCAGCTGGCTATTGCGGGACCCAGATGTGACAGCGCTGCGAGGCTCTAATGGGCATCCTCCTCCCATCCCTCGCTGCCACCCTCTTCTAAGCTGTCAGCAGAAGTGAAACTAAAATAAGCGACATCCTTCTTCGAGGGAAAATTCCAGTGCTTCAACTGCAATTTACAAAATAAAGTGGCAGCAGAGCCCGAAACCAATGGAACAAAACTTCTGCGTCAGGATTAGCGTGCAGCCTGCTCCCTGAAGTGAAGGTGTTTGTCTTGCCGTGTCCCGGTGCAGACGGACACACCGCCGTGTACGCACCCATGTGAGCACATACGCAGCCGGAGGGCACTCGTGCAGGAAGGTCCGCTCCCTCCGGCACCCAGAGGAGCTGTGATGGTTTGATACACGTTCACAGCACCTAACTCCACCCAGCGTACGAGGGCCGTTCAGTCTAAGTTTGCATCAAGCAACAGCAGGGACCAGCAGGAGCCCGTCTGCAGCTTAAAGTGTTGCCGCTGAGGACGCAGCATCCACATACCCCCATGTTACAGCAATAACCGAGCACTGCAAGCGGCTGCGGAGCACAGCTGTAATTAGCTCTAATGTTCTGTGCTGCTATTCAGGCCACCGAACTCAGCACAAGTCTTCTCGAGACAAGACAATTACCAGGAGGATGTTTTGCCTGACAGATGGAGCCGGATGGGAATCTGAAAAATTCATGGCCAGAGTCTGAAATCGTTGCTCTTACTGAGTAATAGCCTGCTTGAAAAAAAGCATCCAAGCCAATCTAAACCCAACCCAGTCCAACCCCAACCCAATCCCAACCCACCCCAACCCCAAACCCAACCCAACCCACCCCAAGCCCCCCGCAGGGCACCGGGACGCCTCACCGGAGTAAGAGCCTGCTTGAAAAAAACCACCCAAGCCAATCTAAACCCAACCCAATCCAACCCCAACCCAATCCCAACCCACCCCAACCCCAATCCCAACCCAACCCCCCCCAAGCCCCCAGCAGGGCACCGGGACGTGTCACAGGAGCGCTGGCAGCAGCCTGGGTGCTCCCAAACCATCCAAGGTGCTTCACTTCTTGCTGCAAAACCCTGCGAAATCAGTAAAGAAACAAGAGCCAGCAGCTCAAACACGGGCCCGTGGGGACCTCAGAGATGCCACGCCTGTCAGCAGCCACCGGGACGTGGGAACCAAGGCTGGTGCACGGTGGCCTGGCCGCAGCCAACCCGTGGGACTTGTGCCATTGACTTGAAACGTGGCAGGACTGCACCCTGAGACTCGTTTGACGTCTGTTTCAACAGATATTATTGCACCGTGTCTTTTTTTTTTTGCTTTCTTATAATTTTGACCGATGACTTTAATATTAAGCATCAAATGCCATGTCAAGCTGGTTTAAAAAAATATTTCCTATCTTTAATTTCTCTTGGAATAAACCAATGTTTACTCCATTATTAAAGCTGGCCCAAAATGGGAACATTTAGTAAGCGTTTCAGCCAAATTTTTCTTTTTGGAAAGTTTTAATTAAAAAAAAAATATTCCACTAGCTCTCCTGTAAGAGCAATAACTTCTGCTTATGCTTTATTTTCCTGTCCTCCAGAAGACATCTTGTAAATATGTTCGCGTGGGACTTTTGTTCCCAATTACTCTTTAGGCAGTATATCCAAAAGCTTCTAAGTGTCTCGGAAAAGGAATTACTCCTGTCTCAGAGTAACATGAGCATCTGAAGAGCCAAAGGGGGACACTGCTCTGCAGTTTTGTGGGTACAAGGACTGGCAGCAGCCCGCTGGCGCAGAGCAGCCTGTGCTGGTGCTCGTGCAGCGTTTCTAGAGGTCCCTAAATACCGTATCCCTTAAATATGCCTTTTAAGGTGTTTCTAATGTGTTTGAAATTCTCATTTGCCATAGTGTGCTTTCTCTTCAGAGGCTAAGGGTCACGTCTGAGACAGATGCCCGTGCTGGGAAGCCCCATCTGAGCTGAAAGCCACCGGCTCCGGCAGCGTCCCACGAAGGCAGGCGGGGCCATGTTGGAGGAGCGGCTCAGGACGGGACGGTCCTGAACACAAGCAAACAGTGCTGACAGATGAAATAGTAAGCCTTTTTTTTTTTTCCTCCTTTCCATTAGTCTTTCCCGTCCCTCTCCTACACCCCTGAAAGGGGTTTCTGTACTGCCTGCCCCGAGCAGTGCAGGTGCCAGGTCAGCTCTGAGCAGCCCCACAAGGTCCCAGCGCTGGCCAGCAGCACCGCAGCAATTGCTGGGGCTGGATGAGGCCCAGCCCGACCCTCTGCTTCAGGAAAAACAACAAATGGTACAAATGTTCACTATTAAACCCAAGGATGAACACGAACCACCAACTTGCCAGTAAAACACTGGCTTTTATCCCTACAAACCTCTCGGCCCTCTTCATCCACCACCTTAAAGTAGAAAACACGGGACAGTTTGGAGGCTTCAGCCCTGCCCAAACAGCACCAGCCAGGTGATGTGCCCAGTGCGTCCCCAGCAGGGTCGGTATGTCGCTTGTGGAGAGGTTACAATCCTGGGGAGATGGGCTGTACCACACCAGCCCTAGAAATCAGGAAAA